TATCTGCCTTGAAAGTAATTTAAATAATAAATTATTCCAATCATTTAGCCTGTTTTAAAAGCACTTTTATAAAACAAACAAAAAACTGGTCAGTTTTTAAAAAAATCATGAACTATATTCTTGGATTCTGAATGAATGCTAAAAACTTGGTGGGAATGCAAAGACAACCAATGGAAAAAAAACATGTTTGATATAGATTTCAAAATATCAAGAGAATGTGCAAAAGAAACCAAGGTTCATCTTTTGGTCCTGGCACATATTGCTATTTGTGAGTTAACTAGCTTAGAAGAGAAGTAAATAGTGTGTGAAAGAGGAAAAAAAAAAGATATTCTGGAAGTAATTATTAACGCAGAAATTTCTGCATCTAATTTTGGAATGCTTATGTTTGGAATGGCCCATGCATAATGAAAATGTGTGTTTCAGGTTTGTGGAGAAAAACAGCGCTTTGAGAAGTTGATGGAACATTTCAGGAATGAAGACAATAACATAGATTTTATGGTGAGTTATTTTAGTTCTACATTCAATAAAAAAACAAACTCAATTTTGGCACTTTTCCCCTAAATCCACACACACCCACCCACCCATATATGTTACTAAGGACAGGAAATTGAATTTAATATGCTATAGATCCAATCTAGAATGTCCCTCTTAATCTGTATTTTCCTTTTATGGCCTTTACTTCAAGTTTTATTCATTACATACACCCTATAGAAAAGGCCAAAAATACGGATTTTTTATAGCAATTAAAGGGGGAAGTCATGCAGCTGGAAAAAGGAAGTTAGTGCCTGGTGCAAATGCCTGCAGTTGCCAACCTTAGCTGTTGATAGTGCTGCACAACAATCCTTAAGGTAAATGGAATCTTCACTAAAAATCTTGACCTTTTCGAATTTTGCAGTCCCTGCCAGTGCCCTTCTCCAGACTATATTCTCTCTCTCTCTCTCTCTTTTTTTTTTGTTGGCTGGCTGGTAACCAGACTATATTCTCAAAGACTAAAGTGCATTGGTTTGTAGAATTGACTGTATGTATCCCCCAAATTAATATGCAGTAGTGATTTTTCCCTGTTGATCTCTTTCCTACTTTAGTAATTCTGTGAGGGCATAATCATACTGCAGATCTGCTTATCAGGTGAGATCACATGCAAGAACATGTGGTTCCACAGCAGTTCTGCCATTCTCAGAGAAGAAGATGAATTTCAGCACTTCTAATTCATAACCTATATCTTAATCCTGGACTGAGGATAGAATCTCTCATAGAGAATTTCCTGAGACATAGTACCCTTGAGTGTACCCAGATCTGTAGGCTTTGATCTAATCTAGTTGCCCTAGAGAACTTCTGGACCCAGGTTATTCCTGCTTGGATTTAATCTCCCAGATCGCTTCTAGCCTGAAGCAGATGTTCCTATCAGTTCTTAAATTGCTTCAGTGACTAAACAGCATGAAACCATAGCTTTGCAGATTTCTGACCCTTCTATGTGAAAATTTTTTTCTTGGTCCTCAAATTTTATATGCATCCTCCTTCACCTCCTTCCAAAATCAGTGAGAAAGATGAAATCATCTATAGAGGAGCTTTTCTGTTCATGAAGCATGTTACTTGCTTTTGAAAGGCAAAAAAAATAAATACGTGTGTGTGTGTGTGTGTGTGGGTGTGCGCGCGCGCGAAATAAGGGATACTTTTACATCAACATTTTAATTCTTGTTACTAGGATTTTTTGGACAAGTTAAGGCTAATGCTGGCCCTGGTGATAAATTGTAAAGAGGTTTGTGCCTTGACTCACATGACCAGTTTCATTCCTGCGCGCGTGTGTGCGCGCGAAATAAGGGATACTTTTACATCAACATTTTAATTCTTGTTACTAGGATTTTTTGGACAAGTTAAGGCTAATGCCGGCCCTGGTGATAAATTGTAAAGAGGTTTGTGCCTTGACTCACATGACCAGTTTCATTCCTGTGCCTTGTTAGGAGGAATTTATTTGTTCCATTGTACAAATTAGAGGCTCCCAGGCTGAGGCCAACATGCACAGGCTTGTGAGTTTAGTCTGATAGTGATGACCCTCCATAAAAAAGAGTGGATGTTGTGCATAAAAGTACAGACATCTGATTTTCTTAAACTAAAAATGTCTGATAACACTACGCCCCTGCTCCTGCAGAATATTAGCTGCTGGAGCCGAGTAGCCCCTGTTCCTTTAGTCTAAAGATATCCTCTCTAGTTTGTCACAGTCTGCACCGTTCCCTATTTATTACACATGGCCCACCTGACTAATTTATGATACCTGCTGGACCTCTCTGTCATTTGAATTTCTGCTGAAATTATAATGATATTAAGCCCTTTAAAACACCTGCACTCTCCATATATAAACCAGAGCCTATTTCCTGTCAGTTCATTTATTCATATGTACACACATTGAGGTACCTTATTTGGAAGCTGCACGTACACAAGTACTGTGGGCTAGATTCGTTTCTGCTGAAATTATAATGATATTAAGCCCTTTAAAACACCTGCACTCTCCATATATAAACCAGAACCTATTTCCTGTCAGTTCATTTATTCATAAGTACACACATTGAGGTACCTTATTTGGAAGCTGCACGTACACAAGTACTGTGGGCTAGATTCATGGGTCACCTACAAATAGTTGTTTCTAAGGCCATAAAACTCAACCGATCATTTAGATCTGTGTTCAGAAAGGAAATGGAAAGATGCCAGGATCCAGCCATTTTTTTCCCTCCAGAAAGTGATGCTTTGGGAATGCAATTATGGTGCACAAGTTCCAAACAACATATTCCTCATAACATGTAACATACATTTTTCTAATGTAATGTAAGAACTTTTTCTCCTTTTTCTGTATTTTTTTGTGGATAAAAGGAAACAAAAAGTGACAATCTTTTTTTTTTTAAGCTCACTTAACTGTAGATCCTGAGGTAATTTTTTAGTAAGTTGCAGCAGAGCTTGTAACCTTGAGAGCTTACACATCTTCCAAAGATGTCCAATGTATAACATATTTTCAAAGAGGAATCTAATACAATAAAAACAGTTTTTAAAAAGGTAAAAGAAATTGGGTTTGGGGGATAGAGGAAAAGTAAGGTGGTTCTCAGAATAAGTGTGAATATGGGTCCCTTGATCATTTTACCCCCTTGCCAGGTACTCTGCTGGGTCACAGCCATTGAGGGAAAGCATTAGTAAGAGATTTTCACCATGAGTCGACTGTCATGATTGAAAGCAAAATAGATCTGCTGGACTCTCTTCTGTTATTTACCACACTGGGTACTTGTGCCACTGATACAGTTGTGGGGAGAAAGCAGTAAATTTAAAGCTTTTATGCGTTGTACACTGGTCGATTATATGGAAAGATGGAACAAAGAGCTGTTACTATTCTGTTGATATGGTGGATCTCACAGTGAATTTTTAGAAGCAATTACCTGTGGTGAGATTATAGGTGATTTAAATATTCTTTGTAATAATTTTCACATTTTGTATGTTATAACTGTAAAAATTTACACTGTTTTATATACCTATATGACTTTTTAAGAACAGCTCTGCTGAGATATAATCAACATACCAATTTACCCATTTAAAGTGTACAATTCTATGTATATTTAGTGTATTCACAGGATCGTGTAGCTATTACCAAAATCTAGTTTAAAGCATTTTGTCATCCCTAAAAGAAACCCAGTGTTGATGATAACACCAAAGTCAAGGGGTCAGATCCCCATTCCTGCCTGCCACCAAAAATGTGACCTTGTATCCATTAGCAGTCACTCCCCAGGTGCCCCAGCCCTAGGCAACTGCTAACCTACTTTCTATCTCTATAGTTTAACTTATTCTGGATATTTTGTCTGAATGGAATCATACAACATGTCATCTTTTGTGACTGGCTTTTTCTATTTAACATGTTTTCAAGTTCATTCATGTTGTAGCATTTATCAGTACTTCATCCCTTTTCATTATCACATAATATTCCATTGTATGGATATACCACATCGATCAATTGATGGACATTGGGTTCTTTCTACTTTTTAGTCGTTATGAATAATGCTACTGTTAGCATCTGTGTACAAATTTTTATGTGGACATATATTTTTATTTCTCTTGGTTATGTACCTAAAAGTGGAGCTGCTGGGTCCTATAGTATTTTTGTGCTTATTAACATGTCGAGGAACTGTCCCATGTTTCCAAAGTTGCTGCACCATTTTCCCACCAGCAATGGATGAGGGTTTCAGTTTCATTACATCGTTTCCAACACTTGTTATTATATTTGTTTTTGATTGTAGCCATTCTAGTGGGGGTGAAGTGGTATCTTATTTTGGTGCCTCTATGACTTCTTGAATTAAAAAATTATAAAATACTTTTAAAGACCCAGTGAAATGAAGGAAAAGGAAATTGGTAAGTGAGCCTAGATTTGTGAAATTGAAAGCACATGCTTGTGATTAAACTGAGAGAAAAGTTTGGAGCCCATCTAACCCCTTGGCAATTTCATTTCAGGTGGCCTCTATGCAGTTTATTAATATTGTAGTCCATTCAGTAGAAGACATGAATTTCAGAGTTCACCTCCAATATGAATTTACCAAATTAGGCCTGGATGAATACTTGGACGTGAGTATGGCAGTAACCTGTGGCTCCAATATAAGAATTGATTTATTGCCTACCCACAAAGGTCTACTTTTAGAGTAGCTAAAGAATGCTTCCAGCTCTATGCAGTCACCTGCTGTTGTGCTAGTTAAAGGGGACCAATCTGAATGATGCAATCTATCAGAGAAGCTGGATTCTTGCAGACCTTCTGGGACCTCAGGCAGTCTTTTGCCAGCAGCCTTTCAGATAACCTTTTGCAGGCTTGCTACAGCTTTCCTCTGCTTTTGAGCTCTGTCTGGGTCAAGTCTCATGGCATCCATCATCTGGGCTGTTGGGTAATTTGAGTTCATGGTTACTCTGGGGACCCATCTGGGCAGGGAGAGTCGAACCAAGACTGCTGTAGAATGATGAGTAAATGCTTGGAGCATAAAAAAATAATGAGGAAATGGACACTAGAGACTTCCTCCTAAAGCTGTTAAATGCTGCTTAATGTATTTGTGGCTTTAGAAGTTCCAGTTTCAGTTCTTGGGAGAACGAGGTTTAAAGTTTCTCTTTTTTCTTGCTGCCTTGCAGGAGTACTCAGCCAGTTCTCTGAAGTTCTTCAGTTAAGAAACAGAAGTTTCAGTTCTTGGGAGAACGAGGTTTAAAGTTTCTTTTTCTTCTTGCTGCCTTGCAGGAGTACTCAGCCAGTTCTCTGAAGTTCTTCAGTTAAGAAACAGAAAGTTGATGTGAAAATCATAAACGGACTTGAATAGCTACATGTGTATGAGATGTGGCCTTGTTTTTTTGACTCATAGGCTGTTTCTGTTTTCCCTTTCATATAGGAATGGTTTGGTTGAATTTGGAAGACTACAAGTGATAGGGCAAGAATTGTGGACCTCAGTTTCAAGGCTGTTTCTAGCTATGAAGAAGTTAGAAGTACTTCCCGTGGACATTCCCAGAGTTCAGCTGCCTGTCTTCGTTAGGGATACACCCAGGAGATTACACAGCCCGTACCCTCAGTTTACTGTGAGGCAGAATCGCAGGACTGGTTACTCTCGATGTGATAGCCTTCCTTACCGGACCAGCTGGACTGCTCTTGACTGATCTAATGTTGTCTAAATGCTTTACTCAGAGAGAGACATAATAGGTTTCCATTAAAGAGTTTGAATTGTTTTCCTATATGTTTGAAGACTCACTCATGTCATTGGCAGAATATTGTATTGAAGGGTTTTTTTCTGCTTTGAGATCAAAGATTGTCTACCCTCTTTCCCCATATGCTTCGAAACTGTAGCATTTGAATAAAAATTGGGTGTATAGATTTCTAATGGTGCTCTGGGTTCAGTTTTGTGATGTCCTAGCAGATAGCTTTAGGTTCCAGTTATAATGTCAGGTAGTAACATATCAGTGACCTCCCATTATTAACTGTGAATCTCGTGAAAAATCCTTCTAAGCATCTTCTCCATTTTCTTTCCTAGCCTTTGCCTTTATTCAGAAATCTTTTTCAGTTGTGTCCTAAACTAAGATGGAATATACTCTTTTAAAACAAGCTATATTGTAGAATTCCAGATTAGACCTAGGAAAAAAATTTATTTTCTTGAGAATTTATGCAGAGTGGAATTCTTCTTAAAAATTTAAGATTTTCTCAAAACTCTATTTCTTTAAATTTATGGTATGTTGATTCTGGACTCTGATAGATGTATAAGTGCTTCATTAGTTTATAAAACTTCAGCCTTGTAAGTAGTCATTGATTTGTTCAGCAAATGTTTATTGGCATCAGCCATGTGCCAGATGTTATTCTAGCCACTCATCTGTTCCCCAGGGAAAGTCATGACTGATGTTACTTGTAGGGAAGATTCACTGATTTACTTGACCTCTAGTGTCACCTTAGAGCTGGCGGAGTTCCTTCAGGATGCCTAGTCTAGGATGCAGTGAACTGGGAAAACTTTCTGATCTGTGCTTTGGAGAGCCCTGAGCTGTGGATGCTGGGCTCTGACTTAGGGAAGGAATCATGGTGGGTGGGATCTGGCAATTTGTGCTAAAATAAGCCCCAAGACTAAACATAGATTCCCTCCAGGTCTACCCTACCTCCCACCTAACCCTCTCTCCCCATTGGGATCCCCATCACAACCCAGGCAGGGTACTCCTACTTTAATCTCTTCTAGTGCACAAGATACCCCTCAAGTTTTATGTTGCTTCTGACTGTTCCCTTTGAAGTTATTTTCAATTTTTCTGTTGTCCGGATTTCATCTATATTAACATGTTTTAGATTGGAATATAAGTACATGGGGCAGGAAGGACTGGGGGGAAATGGGTGTATATTTGGGAGAGGGTATTCACCAGAATGGTACCCTCTTAGGCAGTCACTCCATAATTTTGTTAAGGAAGATGATATAGTAAACCCTCTCTTGGAAAAGGCTGTGGACTGTTTGGAACAAACAAAACATATAGGTTGTTGGCTAATTATGTTCTGTTTCCACAGATAAGCTAACACTATCTTCTCTTGCGTTCTGGTTCTTAGAAGCTGAAACACACGGAGAGTGACAAGCTACAGGTCCAGATCCAGGCCTACCTGGACAATGTGTTTGATGTAGGAGCTCTGCTGGAAGATGCTGAAACTAAGAATGCAGCCTTGGAGAGAGTGGAAGAACTGGAAGAAAACATTTCTCATGTAACTACGTCTCAGAAAAGGGAAAATTCCTCACATTTCAATGGGGTGCAAAGTAGAATTCATGATAGCTTTTATGGTAGTAAATTAAAGGATGTTGAGTATAGGAATGAGCTGTAACCTGGGATAGAAAGTTATCAGAAGCCTTTCTGGGTTCTTTCAAAGAAGGCAGGTATGCTACTTAAGACAAAGCAGGACCCGTTGCCTGGCTCACTCTCTGCTGGGTTGCATTCCTGCTCATTTCTGCTGGGTTGCATTCCTGCTCATTTCTGCTGGGTTGCATTCTGGGCGATCTTAGCTACAGGTGCAGGAGAGGTGAATGATTGACATTACCTAAAAGATTAGAGAGAAATATAACTCAGCTACGGGAATTTGGCCTGAGGTGGAGAAGTATCTTCTGAATATGAGCCACCTTCTTATCAAATATGTCCACACAGGCCTATGCACAGGATTAGCTCGTGTTTCCATGATGCGTGTCTGAGCATTGTCTTATGGTTAGTCAGAATCTAAATAGACTAATTTCAAGCATGGGCGTTTTCAAGGATATCCCCAAACTTTCCCATATATCCTCTTCTGTGAAGAAGAGTATCCTCTCAATATAATGCCAACGCTGTATCTGGACGGGTCTCATTTTTCTTTCAGAGGTTTTTCTTGCCACAGACCCAGTCAAATACAAACTTAAAGGCTTCAGATGTTGTTCATTTGTTCATTCATTTGACAAATATTTCAATATTGCAAGAATGAACAGAAAACTAGTGCTTCTTAAAAGCCCAAGCATTGTGAGGACCATATTCTTTTGATGAATTTTGATTGGTATTTTCCTTGATTGTGAAATAAATTGTCTCTTTTTGGAGGAATATTATTTTCCCCTTTGAACAGTCCATTTATTTTCCTCCACATTTTCTTTTAAAGAGTTCTACATGTGTTTAATTTCCTTCCCCTTTTCCCATCACTCTGAAAATGGGCATCTTTATTGCTTTTGGTTAAGCCAAGTTGGTGAGCCAAAACCCTCCCTTTGTAAGAGCTACAGTGACCTAGTTGGCATCTAGTTAGGAGGAGAATTTACAGGCCCGATATTTCTTCTCTTAAAAGATTTGTATTATATTCTGAACCTGATCAGCATAGATTTTCATCCTTCCTCCTTGCCTCGCCTCCCTGATTGTCTTTGCTTGTGATCATTTTCAGTGATATGTAAGAAATCAGAAATTGCTTAATTTTAGAGGTTTGTGTGAAAAGCGACTATTTAGCATGTGGCTCCTCCGTCCTTCTCTTTCATCACTGCACTTACACGTCCCCTCTGGAGCCAACCACCTGTTTATTGAACTGCCCACCAAATAACTTTTATGATTTGCATAGTTTGGGTTGAAATAAGTGTAGTATTTTTTTAGTTAGTTACCTAAAATGACAGAACCAAGTTTTCTGGATCAATAATTTTCAAAAGCTTTTGCCTGATAGCTCTTTTTTTTGGGGGGGGTGGAGTGGCAAAAGAAGGGCCCCCCATCTTACTGTTCCCTACCCTTAGTAGCCCCTGCAGAAATGGAGGAAGACAGACTGTATGTTGAAACATTAAGGAGCTGACGTATGGGTTTTATTAAGGATCTCGTATAATTATTAATTCCTGGAAGAAACAAATATGTATTCAGAACCATATTATAAATATTAACATTTTCAGAACACAACTTGTGGAACACATGCAGGACTCTGATGGGCTTCTAATGCTTTTGGAGCTACACTTTCTGAGAACTGAGGACCTGATCAGAACAATCCAATGTGTGACACAGCTTCCTTTTCAAAATTTTACAGTTATCTGAAAAACTGCAAGACACAGAGAATGAAGCCATGTCCAAGATCGTGGAACTGGAAAAGCAGCTCATGCAGAGAAACAAGGAGCTGGATGTTGTTCGAGTAAGTGTGATGATGACAGCCACCCTAGGTGGGCATCCTGGGGAGTGTGCTCCAGCTTTGGCCTGGTCGAGTGTGGAGTACATTCAATTCAGGAATGCATCAGTGCAGCATATTCATTGGAACTGTTTTAGGGGTGATACTCACATGAAAAGTACACACAGTCAGGGATGTATACACATGTGTATGTAATCAAATGCTGGGAGTTCAGTATTTCCTTATCACAGATTTTGGGAGCAACAATGTTTTCTCATCTGGAGGAGGCCGAGTTGATTCTGTGGATCACCCATTTGGTTGGAAATAAAAGCACAGCATGGATTTAATTTATGCCACTTATTTATTTTTATTAGGGCTCAGGCTTCTTTGTATTTTTTTGCTTTGCTTCTACTCAAAACCAGATTTGGTGGTTGCTGTGGAAACGGAAATCACAACACAGGTTAAACCTAATGACATTCAACAAAAAAGGGGCGGGGGGGAAGGTAAAGCAAAACCAATCCATTTTATTATCAGATAATCCCAGCTATTTTATTTGGCCTCAGTGTTGTTTTAACTCAGTGTCAGGTATTTATGGAGTGCCATCCATGTGCCTGGAATTGTACAGAATGTAAAAACACCAAAATGCCTGGAGGGCTTTCAGGCAAATGGCTTGCTTTTACACCACCATTAACGAAATGGCACATTTTATGGGATGGTTATCATGTCTGTGTGTTGGTTGATATTCTGACATGGCCTTCAGTTAACTCTAGGAAACTTATTTTCTGGCATGCCATTGAGACGAAGTTGTAGCATATGGACTCAATTCAAATTCAGACTCTTAGATTATTAATAATAGACGTTCTTCAGGGTGTGAAGAATGTTTCCCTGCCTTCTGGAGGTTTGTGGTGAGAGATCACATGTATGAGGCCCAGCAAGGAAGTTCAGTTCCATAAAATCCTTTCACTGGAACCTCTATGGGCCCCTTATGAAATGAACCAGGACAGCCTTTGAATCGAAAATTATAGCTTCTTTGTTTTCTGCTAAAAACCCAGACAGAAATAAGTAATTAGTGGAGGAAAGCTTTGCTCTTTTGTTAACTACATTACCAAAGGGGAAATGTTATAACAATCGCTGTCCTAAGCTTGGTCAGGGGGGCATTGTGAAAGCCAGAGAAATCCATTCAAGAACAGTCAGCCCCTGGTTACTCATGAGTAGGTTATTCCATGCTTTGCAGATTTTTAATCCCAGTTTGACTTCTATCCAAGGCTGATTTGGGGCCTTTTTGTCTATTGTTAGCTGATATGTGTATCTAGGAGTTACAAACGAATTTTAAAATAAGGTGAATGCTGCACCACCAGAATACCCTCGGGCTATTCTAAAGTCAGCTTTTGGGGTCCCCTCTGCTCTGTTTCTTTCTACCTGCAGGGATAATTGAGTTAGCTGCCTTTATTAAATAGAACTTGACTAACAATAACAATTGCTAGAATATCTTGCATGCATTCCTAACATACAATTAATAATTAATGAGATATTTTAGGTTCTGGCTGAGTTCCATAGCAGTCCTATTTATATTAGTATCCTTTTTCTCTCTGTTTAGTTACTTTCTTTATCCTCAGTTTTCCTATCTAGTGGTAATAAGTATGAATGTCATGTGAAGACAAACTCTTGACTCTTTTGCAGGAAATCTACAAAGATGCAAATACCCAAGTTCATACATTAAGAAAAATGGTCAAAGAAAAAGAAGAAGCCATTCAAAGGCAGTCGACCCTGGAAAAAAAGATTCATGAACTGGAGAAACAAGGGACCATTAAAATTCAGAAGAAAGGGGACGGGGACATTGCCATACTGCCAGTTGTGGCTTCTGGCACATTGTCCATGGGATCAGAAGCGGTAGCAAGTACCAGTGTGGGACCAGTGACCAGGGCTGCCTCCCTGGGATCCTTGCCCCCTCCTCCTCCACCACTACCTCCGTCATTAGACACACCTGAAGCAGGTGAGAAGCCTTGGCAGGAGAACTAAGGTAGTATCGGGATATTTGTAGTTCTTCTTTTACCAGTTGTCCATTTCTGTCCTTTGTCTGCTTTGGTTGGCAAGTTCTTTCACTTATTGATTTTAAGAACTATTTACATTTTGTGATTAAGGTTATAAATCTTCATTTGACATATGTTGTGATATTTTCTGTTTGTCAGTAAGGACATTTTATGGTTTTTGAAAGCAATCCTTTGTCCTTTTAAGTGTTTTCTTTTCAAATACTTTCATGCACGTGACATTGTGGGAAAACCATTCCTCTGTTTTCAAAGTCCATTTGTTTTTTTTTTCTCTTTGCTAGTGCAAAATGGTCCAGTAACACCACCCCCGCCCCCGCCTCCCCCCCCA